GAAAACCAACGTTTGTTAACAGGAGCAAAGTTTCCTTACTTTAGCAAAGGAAAACCAGTCTCATCTTGGCTTATATCGAACTCCTCTGACATTCTTCTTTGGAAATCCTCGTTTTGTACTTCTAATAAGTGACTGTTGTTTTGTTTTGATCTCTCCCCTGCGCTTCCACGTTTGTCACTTCTGAGCGGTGCATGTGCAAAGCCAACCTCATACGTCATCCGCCCGGAGCTGCTTCCGTGTACAACTGTTGGCGCAAGTTACATTAAAGTGATTATTACGTTTTGAATATGGATATTTTTCTTACAAAAACGCATCGATTCGCTACAGGAGGCCTTTGTTCACCCCCCGGAGCCGTGTGAGACACTTTTTTTTTATGGATGGGTGCATTTTAATTAAGTGCTTTTGGACTGATGCATGCAACACCCGCTGAGTGGCATGAAACAGCTTGAAAGATCAAAGACAATTTTTAATATAACTCCGACTGGATTCGTCTGAAAGAAGAAAGTCATATACACCTAGGATGACTTGAGGGTGAGTAATTTATGGGTTAATTTTCATTTTTTGGGTGAACTAACCCTTTAAGCATGCTACAGTGAAACAATGAAGTAACCCAATCACTCAGAACCTGTGCTCCGGGCTGTGCTTTAACTGTACAACTGTAAACTGCTGCGAGGGACGAGAGCATTGGATTTTCTCCATTCTGTAGTGCCTCTTTGCCTCCGGCATATTAGGGACACACTCACAAAAAAAAAAAAAAGACAATACATGTACTAAGAGGCAGAGAAAGACTGTTAGAGCACAGAAATTGGGTGATGGGTAAAGCTAAAGTACAGAGACACTTAAAGCTACTTCAAAGTAGCAAAATGTATATCATGACCAGGTATGCATTGCACTTTTGGTTTGAGGGTTGCAGTGGTAAACATCCTAAAGAGAGTGGACAACTAGAGTTTTTTGCTGTTGTTAATGAGTCCCAACCAGAATCCACTGCAGTCGACTTGCACTGTTATAATTAGATCAGTCGGGTCTTTGAGATCAAACAAGCCATGATACGGATCTCTTAGTCTAATGTTGTGAGATCAAAGATTCAAAGGTATGAAGCTATCAGCCATTACTGTGAAGGAGTACAGCGTTTGTGCAGTCTAGTGGTCAGGAACCACCGCTGCTTTGATCTGCAAGACGGTTAGTAACGTTAATTTAAAGTGATAAACTTGGGTTAACCTCAGTTTGGCAGTGAATTGTTTGGAGAAATATATCTTCTAACATCTTAAAAGTATTTCACCGCAATCCCAACAAGTTATAGTCTTGTGGTAAAGAATACCACAACTATATATACAACCTACTGTATATACCAGAGCCATCAACTAGAGGTAGGAACTGGTTCTTCTGAAGTACGCAAGGAGAACTTTAACCATCAAAATGATGGTGTAACTACAGACGAAGAAGGAAACAAAGGTCTACTAACATGGTCCATTTGGCAGTGTCTGTGGGTGGGAGTAATTGTGGTTTACTGTGGGCTGGGCCTCTTTGAAGGCACCATCTGTGAAGGGTTCCTTAAAATAATTGCCTCTTAATTACACGCCGGTGTGCAACTGACAGAATCCACAAGCATGACATCAGAGTTAAGCACTTCAGGACCAAAACACACCGTATGACGTAAAATGTTACATGACAAAAACAAGTAATTATAAAGCTAAGTACAAGAAATATCTTAAATAAGCACATCCAAAAAATTAAAAGATGATTATTTGTTTTAAATGCTAAAATATTTTGTCATACCAGCTTATATGCAAAGTAAACCTTTAGTTTAGCCTATTTTTTTTTTTAAACATTTGTTCAAGCATTCCGACCAATTCCACATAGCAACACTGGCTTAACCAATAATGTGAGTTTGAGGGCGGGACTATCGGTTTGTCTGACCAATGGCAGAAAGGTGAGTATCTGGGAGGCCTGATTGAAAACAATCATTTCATTATTTCTATGACTCTACACTCTTAAAAATAAAGGTTCCAAAAGGATGCCATAGAAGAACCATTTTTGACTCCCCAAAAGAACCTATCAGTGACCATTTCTTAAAAAAAAAAGAAAAATTTAATGTGAACATTATTTTAATAAGCTAAAGAAACTTTTTCCACTATAAAGAACCTGTGCAATAAAAAGATTCCATGGATGTTAAAGGTTCTTCTTGGAATCATCAATGCCACTAAAGAACATTTATTTTTAAGAGTGCAGTGGTGCAGAAATTACACATTTCACCCTTTAAACCTGCTAAACAGTTAAATTCGATCTGCTTAAACATTTTCAGCTTAAATTCAACTAAGCATAGCACAATATTTTCGCCGTCTAAAACAGAAAGACTCCAAGGACGGGCTAAAATAGCGTGACAACACGCAGGGTGAACATATTGCCTTAAATGGGTTCACAAGCGCCCGCTGCATGCACACACATGCATTATGCAAAGCTTTGCAATACCGCTTCCCTCCGGTCGACCCCTCGCCCTGTCACGGTGGACGCCATTGATTTCAGACCTATGGGCTACGGGGAAGCTATGTGCATAAAGCATCTCTCTCGCACTGGAGTGATTTAGAGGCCGTTTGTCTGTTCAATGGAAAGCCATTAAATTGACTGATGAGTATATGAGTTGGGTTTTTCATATCCAGCCTTGCTTTAGAACCCCAGCATCCTTGAATACAAAACGGCAGTTGCATGTCAATTGATATTCTCTCAGATGCGTGCGCTTTGTGTTGTGAGCGATGCATGTTTCAAGAGCGGTCTGGAAATGGGCTGAAGACTACTTAAAGAAATGATTCTATAGCTTCAGAGGTTCTCCATGATATCTGTCCAGATCAGACAAAGATTAGAGCTCTGACTGGTAAGTGCACAGGACGTACTCAACAGTAAATGCTATTTAAAACACTAAAATTCAAATGGCTTATTTAAAGAATAATAGATTAGACAGAAATGAGATACACAAAGTGAACAACTTAAGTTTCTGTTCTCTTGCTAAGGTCAGAGATTGTGATGTCATTTTGGGTCACAGAATTACAATGGTATGCATGTATACAACGACTTCCACGTATAAATACATATAAATATTATATTTTGTTTAAGTTCCTGAGGCAAAACAACTCTTCTAAATCAGGTAAGCAATTTGAAATTTATCTATAACGGGAGGGCGAAATAATTGCATTCGAATTTATCATTTGCTGACAAGTAAAAGCAAGAGATGAAAGCAGAGATGCAAGCATAAATATTGATTAACTGAGATCCAGGATCAAATTCCAGGAACATCGTCAATACAGAAATCATAGAATGCAAAGACTAACATGACAATTAAATGCACTTTTCTCAAGGTTCGCAACATTGTCAACTTGCCAAAATACATCCAGCACTGCACTAGGCACTTTAATAAAAGAAACAACATTAACGCAGCGGTCAAAAATAACATGTCTAGTGAATTAGTGACACTAAGGAGAAGGGAATTACAATGGTATGCATGTATACAACGACTTCCACGTATAAATACATATAAATATTATATTTTGTGTTTTTCGCAATTTATGCCACTTGGTAGTATATTAATTAATACTAATTAAAATGGTGTTATTTATACCAATACATTTTCCTCTAAATTTTTATTTTCACATCAGGTTAATAATTTAGCATATTGTTGGGTCTAAGCAGAACACAATAATAATATTTTTCACTCAAAAAGATATATATATATATATATATATATATATATACAGTATGAAGGGTGCTTTTTCTGCTTGTGGTCAGTACTATCCAACTGCTGAGGGCAATTCGGATGCCCCTGAGACTTGCTCCATTGTGTTCCTGACTTTTACAAAACCAGCCCGGCGCTTATGCAGGACAGCCACTGATTAAACCACTGGTGCCTGGAGCTTTGAATCTGAAAACACTGGCGCACAATGGCCACTATTGTCAGCTGCTTTTCCTTCTATTAATTCTAGGCGACAAAAAGGGTGTCAGGATTTAAAAAAAGAAAGACAGCGAGGGGAAAGAAGCCCATCTGGAGAGTTTACATTATATATAATGACCCAAAAGATGGAGATGAGCATTGTGTTAAAAGGTTACGTTTTAACCGGCTACTTATTTTTAATACTTCACATGCAGCCAGTGCGTAAAAAGTCATCAGGTGCAAGCATACTAGTTGAATCAACAGGCCTAAATCGTGCAATTATATCCGTCTTAACTATTCTTACAAACAAGTTAAAGCTTTATACATTTGCCAATATCCTAAAAATCACTAAATGTTGCAATTCAACTGCCATGACAAGGCATTAACTGCACTAATCTTTAAGACAATTACTTGGATACGGTTGGAAACATCCTTTGACCAATCTATAGGACAATGAACGTGTTTCTAAAGGTCTGGAAGGACATACAACACCTTTTCAAACAGGCCTCGAGCCTGAAAGCCCCCCATCGGTCGCCATACGGGACAGAATATGGACAGCGGGGCTCACTGTTGCCTTCCTAAACCGCCTGCATGTGGCTTAACACATTACAATTGACCTATCCTTGTCCATAAAGGAATAACCATACACAAAGCTATTAAAAAAAACAAAAAAAAAGAATATCATTTATTGAAAGCACTTTCCTTAGTTGAAGAGAATTTGTGGTCACCACAGACCCCTGATCTGATGAGAGTGATGTTATAGGGTGGGGTTCACGCTTGCCTTTATATTGTCTCACCTGATCTGGTGCATCAAAAGATGGAAGCTTTACTTTAGCCCATGCAAAACCATTCAAAGGCGAGGTAATATATGCACACAATTCAAAATAGCCCCATGCATCAGTTTATTTGACAGGAACACATCTGTAGTTTCATTTTAGCATCCCTACACTGCCTGCATCTCATAAGCCTCCAGAGGCCATGCCCGAATCTCCATCTTCAACAAATGTGCAATATCTGCAACAAAGATACAAAGTGAGCATGCTTTGATTTTCATGCAACATATTAAATTGTGAAGGCATACCTAAGCAGCCTTTGCCGAACACACAGTCAGTGTTCTGCGGGTTGGATGCCTGGACGGATCCCAGCGCTGGACTGAGGATGATGGTCAGCAGGCAGAACACAGACAGTGCTGGTCGGGTCCACCTTACAAGCCCGGTGCCCAGCAACATGATGTATCTGTCTCTCCTCTTTGACCTGTTAAATAAAGGTGCCGGGGAACAAAAGACGAGCAGGCTGTGGAGGATCAGGAAAATACCCCTTTTAAAACGTGTTTGTGTCCCAGGAAGGCCGACTGAGCCTTACGAGCATCACTCCGGTTAAAAACAACCGTGCATTTCGCTCACAAGCACATTTGCAGGGTTTCGCTGTTGAGCTCAATAACAGCTCGCGGACGCCTCTCGCTCTGTCTTTGTGTGCATCTCTCGCGCGTCTGTGTTGCTAGTTGTGAGGCAAAAGGCGACGCGTATCGACTGTTTTCCGTCCTTTAGTAATCGTTCGTCCTCAGTTCTCTTTGCTATCCTTTCGTGGCGGGGCAATATCGCGATTCTCCTAGCCCAAAATCCCAACAACAAAGGGTCGGCACGGATGGGTTGCAGTCACGTGACACTTGAACCACCTCCTCCCCCAGTTACCGGAGGAAATGCAGGACCCCTAAAGATCTGCAAGCCTACAGTTGGGTCATTATTAGGATGCAGTTCATTTTCATGTGGCGGTCATATATGGCTCAATCAGTGGCGTGCGGTGGGAATGGCTTTATTAGGCTAATATTAATTCATTTTCCAGTTGGCATTACACAGCAGTGTTATTTTAGTAAGACTGATATACTATTATAGTTTTACTAATATTTTGAATTAGCTATTTTATTTTAATTTTAGCTTCATTTTTATTAATTTGTTGTCTTTGTAATGTTTCTTAATTTTAGGCTTTTTACGTATTTTATAGTTTTGATTCATTTTTGTTTTTAATTTTGAATAAAGTCATTTTAATTTTTTTAAATATCTATATATTTTTAATTAATTTTTATCATTTTTATTTTAGTTTTAGTTTACTAAACTAAACAAACATGAGAACTTTTGCCCTGCATTAGTAAAAAATTATGTGTGTGTGGCGGTCATATATGGCTCAATCAGTGGCGTGCGGTGGGAATGGCTTTATTAGGCTAATATTAATTCATTTTCCAGTTGGCATTACACAGCAGTGTTATTTTAGTAAGACTGATATACTATTATAGTTTTACTAATATTTTGAATTAGCTATTTTATTTTAATTTTAGCTTCATTTTTATTAATTTGTTGTCTTTGTAATGTTTCTTAATTTTAGGCTTTTTACGTATTTTATAGTTTTGATTCATTTTTGTTTTTAATTTTGAATAAAGTCATTTTAATTTTTTTAAATATCTATATATTTTTAATTAATTTTTATCATTTTTATTTTAGTTTTAGTTTACTAAACTAAACAAACATGAGAACTTTTGCCCTGCATTGTGTGTGTGTGGTGTGTGTGTGTGTGTGTGTGTGTGTGTGTGTTTTAAAGGTTTTTAGTTTTAGTTAATGATAATAAACCTGTTACACAATTAAAGGAACACCATTCATCTTACAATTGAAACCAAGCAAGCAATACTATGATATTTACATTATAATTTACACTAACGTTCTATTTATTCATTGTGGTTGGTTGGTATGACCAGAAGTAATCTTATTAATAATTTATGTAATTCTATACATAACTGTAAATATCACAATATAGTTAGTTTTATTTAATATTGAACCTCAAAATGATTTATATATTACATAACTGTAGTAAATATCGGTTTTCCATGATTTTGTCACTTAAATGCTTACAAATGATTATTGATATAATTAAATTATTTTACAAATCTTTTTTATGATTATATTATTTTCTGTATTTTTTTCTTTCTTTTTTGTAACTTTATGTAATTATGTGAGCTGGTATTTTTATGGATTTATCATCACCATGAACTGTTGTTTTAGAAAAAAGGGCTATATATATATATATTGCTATATATTGACAATATTGACACATATTGTTCATATATATA